GTTAAATATTTCTGTTGCTATTTTGACTGCATTTCTTTCATAGGCCAATGGATTTGTCTACCATCAAAAAGAACATTGAGAACGGGCTGATACGAACCACAGCAGAGTTCCAGCGTGATATTATGCTGATGTTTCAAAATGCAGTTATGTACAACAGCTCTGACCATGACGTGTACCACATGGCTGTGGAGATGCAGCGAGATGTCCTGGAGCAGATCCAGGTAAAGCACTGAGCTGTCCAGTGCAGGACAGAACATCTGCCTTGTTCCATAAGCATGGGAAAGACTTCTGGATGTAAGAGCACAGTTTCACTCACAGTGTGAGTGAATGAAGTAGTCTTACCTCTCCCTGCATCTCTTTTGTGCTAGCACAAGTGTTGGTGGTGAACTGGATTGTGGATAAATTAAAACTAAAGCAGTAAAATGTTTGTTAGGTTCAGCCCAGACCAATTTCAAATCTAGTTTCCTTCAAGGAAATGCTTAGGCCAGCAAGAACCAGGGTGTGGTTCAGGAACAGAAACAAGCAGCAAGAATGGTGAATGACAGGGGAGGCGATTGCTTCTTTTGGCAGCTGTGCTGGTTTATGCTGGTATAAAATGTACATGAAACTGTCCTGTGAATAAGTGCCATTTAAAATTTCCCGTGAAGTAGAATGACCCAAGTGGCAGGGCTACCAGAGTTTGAACTGCAGTTTTATAGTTCCTCAGGACTTGTGGCTTCTGAGGTAAATGGAGGAACTTATTCTGAGCAGCGGACAAGGAACTGAAACTGCCTCTGACCCAATCGTGCCCAGCCGGTGGTTTGTGATAGTTAACTGACACGCTAACTGAGCTTGTGTTGCCTGAGAATCTTCACAGAGTGTGGTTTTCTTGCAGCAATTTCTGGCCACACAACTGATCATGCAAACGTCGGAGTCCGGGATCAGTGCAAAGAGCCTGCGCGGGCGAGACTCCACTCGCAAGCAGGATGCTTCGGAGAAGGTGAGAATGCTGCACCCTGTGGAAGGACACTCGGTATCTTTTGAAGAATCCCGAGATACTGCATGAAGTTCCCATACCAAAGATAGGCGGAATGTTTTTCGAGATTCCAACAGCTTCAGCGTCTTCTTGTGAACAAATTTTTCTTTAAATGTGTCCATTGATTAGATTTCAGCTCTGGAGCCATACATCCTCCCAGAGGCAAGTCTCGTGAGTGTTTTCTGTAATCCTGATAATTCTGTTCCCTGTTTTTAAAAACAGGTGATGAAAACTGTAGGGAA